TAATTGGTTAATAATTGTATAGACTTCGGATTGGCCGTTTAGCAAATTTTACGGCCTTACCCAAAATAATGATACGCTAGTTGCTTTAGGCGCGCCTTTAACAATTTACTTTCTTAAACTCGGGGGCACATTTATGTGACCCAAATCCAAATCTCAACAGAGTCGAAATGTGTCGATAAACCACGAGTGCATTGATGTGACGTGGTTCGGGATGTGTTTTCATGACGTTGCAATTCTCGTTGAAAAATAACAATAATAAAAGTGGTAAAAAGTTTAAATTTGCACATAGGTTCAATATGAATAAAAATCAGATAAATAAGCCGAATATGACAGTTGAGCGACCGTGCTAGAACCACGGAACTCGGGAAGGCCTAACACCTTCTCCCAGATTAACATAATTCCTTATCCAGATTTTTGGTTCACAGACTGTAATACATAGTCATTCTTTTCCTCGATTCGGGATTAAACTGGTGACTTGGGACACCATAAATCTCCCAAGTGGCGACTCTAAAATAAATAAACAAATCCCCTTTCGATTGTCCTTTAATTGGAAAAACGCTCTTTACGTCCCTTTGCGGGTGTAGGTAAAAAGGAGGTGTGACAATTGTGATATTATTATGGTGGAATAAGGGAGAATTGTGTTGTACAGTGGGATCGGGTTGTGCGCTACAATAACCTATGTGCTTCTATTTCTCTGTACTGTGTTGGTTCTTAGTGTTTTTTCATACGGAACTCTAAGGATTGGTAATTCTGATCGGTACTAGTTTCCTGGGGATTTAGCTATTTTTTCAGTTTACTGTCTTATTGCATTCTGTATTTCTTTCTCCTGTTTCATTATATACTGCGTTGAGGTTGTAGTGTAAGTGACATGCCTTAGCCTCGTCACTACTTCGTCGAGGTTAGGCTCGACACTTAAAGAGTACATGGGGTCAACTGTACTCATACTACGCTCTGCACTTCTTGTGCAGATTTTGGAGTCGATCCCAGCGGCGGTTATTAGCGTGCTCGGATTGGCCAGCTTGTGGAGACTCGAGGTACAGCTGCTCAGCGACCGCAGCTCCTAGAGTCCCCTTCTCTTTTACTTAGCTGTGTATTTTCCTTCAGACAACTTTATGTTTATTTCAGACCCTTGTTTGTACTATTCTAGTAGCTCGTACACTTGTGACACTAGGTCCAGGGTTGTATCAGATATTTTAGTTGTTATAGCTTCTGCACTTTACTTTGGATTATTGCAGTTGTGAGCACGCGATTTTTGCTTCATACGAATTACTCCAAAAGAATTCCCAAAATTAGGTTTTTTCTTTAATTATGTGTTATTTTTAGGAATTATTGTGTGATTTCCCTGATTGTTCGCATATATTTGTGTGCATGTTTAATTTTGTTAATACATTAAAAATACAAAAATATAGCATTTTCATTTGAGATTTGATTTTTACATTTTTTGGAATTAATTAATAATTAGATGTTTTACAAAAATGAAAATTCAAAAAAAAAAATATAACATATTTTTTTAATTTTAGTTAAATTGTGTGATTTTCTTTTAAATTGACATTTAATTATTTGTGATAATTATTAGTTAGAATTAATTAGTATTTTTAAGTTTATTTGGTGTTTTATGATAAGTTAGGATTTTAGTTTTAATTATTGAAAAGAAAAGGAAAAGAAAATTAAAAAGGAAAAGAGAATAAGAAGAGGAAAATTTGGTTGGGCCAATTTAGCCAGGCCCAAAACCAAAACTCAGTCAAACCCATTGAGAATAAGAAGAGGAAAATCTGGTTGGGCCAATTTACTAATTATGAAGCTTCTAATAGTGGTAGGGTAGTATTTGCATTATCAAATTAACTAAAAGCACTAATTGAGTGGACAATTAAGTGGATGATTAAAGAAATAAAAAGTTGAATTGGTAGTGGAAAATGCACTAATTTAATGCCCATTTAAGGGAGCTGAAAATCAGATAAGAGAAAAAAAAAGAGGGGGGCGGAGAGAGCGGTATACACTCGATATACACTCTGGATACACTGGATATACAGGGGCAGAAAGCTAAGAAAACTTGGAAGAGAGTCTGAGAGAGGGAGAACATTAAAAGAGGGTAGAAGGCTAGGAAATTCGGAGAGGAGAAGAAAAGAAGGGGCGGAGAGAGCGGTATACACTCGATATACACTCTGGATACACTGGATATACAGGGGCAGAGAGCTAAGAAAACATTCTGAAAATACTGAAAAAAATTGAAATTTACTGTTTTATTGATTTCTATTTTTGGTTTTCAATTTCAAATTGGCTGAAACCATCTTCCATATACTATTTCATTGAACTATCTGGGGTTAATAGCTGGATTAAAACTGGGACTGTTTTGTTGTTGTTGGTGATTGCTGTTGTTTTTACTTCTGATCTCACCCCCTTTTGACTTTCATTTCCAAGTATTCCTTCGTACCCTTTGCTACCAAATGAAGTGCCACAAGTTGGAACCAGCTTGAATTTGTATACAGATTTGGATGTTCGAATTGGAATTTGAATAAGAGTCTTGTTTGAATATTAAATTCTATTAGCTTCTGTTGTTTATACTTTTATTTTCTTGTTATGATTCATGTGTTAAATTGTCCAACTGTGCTCAAGGTATAGATTGTATACAACAATAGCTCCTGTTAAAATTTTGGCTGTGTATGTATAGATTGTCTGGTCTTAACTGTAACCAATTGATGTTTCCATATAGTTTATGCCTTAGTTTAAAAGGGGATTATTGTTGATTGATATATATAAAGTTCTTATTCATGCCCCGACTCGTTTTTCTCCCCTCCTCAACGGTTAAAAAGATTATGAGAGATCACTGGTAGGTATGGCTTCAGGGATTCGATCCTGAAGTCCTTGCTTGCAGCCGGCGTTGCCAAAATATTCAGGCCCTTCCGCTAATAAAATGGTTTAATAAAGCCTTGTTGTTTGGAAGGGACTTCTCAAGTACTTTAGTGTTAAATAATTAGGGTCTTAAAAAATGGAAATTTGAGGCAAGCCATAGTAAGACACTTAGTAATAAATGGCTCTTGTGTTAATTTCATAATGTAGAGGTAAAATAATAAATATTCCTAGAGAAACTTTTAGAGCCGTTTAAAATATTATTGTGATTGTGGACATGTTTAGTTCTTGAACAATACTAATTAATTAGGGCTTTTTCTTTTATTATTAGAGACAAACTAAGTAGAAAATTATAGTTTGCTTTAGGTTGGCCTTTAAATAATAAATAAGGCGAGTCCTGCTAAACAAAAATGCATAAATTGCGGGGTCCTCTTAAATGTCTATAATAAAATACTTAGAATTCGAGATGGGCCGTTTAGCGAATTTCACAGCCCTCCCCAAAGATAATAACGCATTAGTCACTTTAGGTGCGCTTTTAATAATTTACCTTCTTAAGCTCGGGTGTGCATTTCATGTGATGACACAAATAAAATCCCAAAAACGTTGAATAAAATGTGTTCAGGATTGCGGGTGCATTTCATGTGACGCAATCCAAAGACACGTTTTAAACGACGTTCAATTTTCTCTAAAAATAATTGAATAAAAGCGGTTGAAAGCTAAAACTGGCACATAGGTTCAACATGTATTAAAATCAGATAAATAAGCTGAATATGACAGTTGAGCAACCGTGCTAGAACCACGGAATCCGGGAATGCCTAACACCTTCTCCCGGGTTAACAGAATTCCTTACCCGGATTTCTGTGTTCGCAGACTGTAATACAAAGTCAATCTTTTCCTCGATTGAGGATTTGAACCAGTGACTTGGGACACCATTAATTATCCCAAGTGGCGACTCTGACTTTTAATTAAAATAATTCCGTTTCGATTGTCACTTAAATTGGAAAAAACTCCCTTTATTATACCCTCCCTAGGGTGTAGGTGAAAAAGGAGGTGTGACAGCAGTTATTTCAGTTCTATCTCAGTATTTAATTTAAACTGTTGAAATGGATAGATTGTTCTAACATTGGCTTGCCTAGCAAGTGAAATATTAGGCGTCATCACGGTCTCGAGGGTGAGAATTTCGGGTCGTGACAACAGTGCATATTTTATTCAGCTGTCAACGGTATTTTGGTTGGTGTCTGGCATGAACCTGGGCATCAAAATCATACTTCCTCTAAATTCTTTAGTTTTTACTTTATTTTGCATGCAAATTTTTCAAATCACTTCTAATTGATTCCTACACATATAAATATTATTATTAAGCTCGAGACTCGAGTCATAAATATTCACCTACTGATACAAAATCTTGCATATAATTAAGTTCCGCATTTGGACGTTCTAGAGGCTAATATAATACTCCTACTTCTTGACCAAGGTTCTTCCTTTCTTCTTGTTTTTTTTTTAAATAAATAAAAAATCTTGACCAAAGATCAGATAGTATAAATTATATTAGTAGCCACGTATCCTTATCATTAGTTGTGATTAAATATTCTTCAATTTGATGGACTATCATATGAAGCTTCTTCAAAAAGCAGAATATAATATTCCACTATATCTAAGCCAGCAATGACGTCAGACATGTGCGTACTGTAGGAATTTTGTTTCGTAAGACCTTGATAAGTGATATTAAGGCCCGGGAATAACGATACGGATTAGGCCGAGTCCAATAACTTTTACTTAAATATTATATTCGTATTCGTGTTAAAAATTTATTAAGCTATTTAAATATTATATTTGTGTTAAAAATTTATTAAATTTTAGAAAATCAGTTATTAGCAGTTGAAGCGACTTTAAAATTCAAAACCAATAAAACTAAAATTCGCCTCTGATTAAGACCAGATCGAATTTTTTTCTCCGCATGGTCATGTCATAATCATTCCTAGACTATCAACTTCATTCATTCAAACATTTCATTTCATCTGAAAGCTTGTCTTCTCTTTTCTCCTTGTTTATTTCTTGGAAATTTCTATAAGTCGTCTTGCCTCCACACTCCCTTCCATGTATAAATACTAAGGTTTCGATATTCACTTACACTATAAACTGCAGACATCAAAAGCAAAACCAAGATATATATGTGTGATTATATATTCATGGATTCCAAAAAAGAGCAAAAGCAATACACTGGCAGAATAAGCAGTACTACTGCATCACCCGTTTTCGAGTCGCGCATAAGCAGTAGTACTAAAGGAAGAGAACCGATAAAGGTGAAGTACATAGACAGTCCAGTGATGGTAAATGCCAAAAATGCAACCGAGTTTCGTACCATCGTTCAACAACTCACTGGAAAAAGCCCTGCAAGTTCAAGTGTCAAAGAACCTTTGTCTCAAGAGATTGATAACAATAATGTCGATTATGAGTTATTCTGGGAAGAACTTTCTGAGGGCATATTTGGTACCTAGATTACCAGTTTTTTCACTTTTGGCTCTTCTGTTTTCGTTTTTGTCAGGTGTATCATAGCTCTTTCATTTTACAAGACGTTGTTTGACTGAATTAAGAAAGGAAGAAAAAAATTTAAAATATGGGACAGAAGGAGTATGTAACGACCTGGTCGGTCGTTTCATGAGTCACAACGCCGTTTCCCTAATTTCTGCTTCTTTATGTGTTATTCAGATGTATTGCGTAGTATCGAGTAGGTTGGTTCGGGTTCGGAGTGGTTTTGGAAAGGAATGAGATACTTAGTCTTTTATTTAGAAGCTTAAAGTTGGAAAAGTCAACCGGATGTTGACTTATGAGTAGATGATCTCAGATGTGAATTTTGATGGTTTGATTAGCTCCGTTAGGTGATTTTGGACTTAGGAGCGTGTTCGGAATGTAATTTGGAGGTTCGTGATAGATTTAGGCTTGAATTGACGAAATTAGAATTTTGGCGTTTCTCGGTCGGCAGTGAAAATTTTGATATCGGGGTCAAAATAAAATTCTGAAAATTGGAGTAGGTCCGTAGTATCATTTGTGATGTGTGTGCAAAATTTCATGTCATTCGGACGAGGTTTGATGGGTTTCGACATTGTTGCGGAATTCGGAAGTTTAGGAGTTCTTAGGCTTGAATCTGAGGGTGGTTTGGTGTTTTGATGTTGTTTGGAGTGTTCAGAAGGTTTGAATAGTGGTATATGACTTGTTGGTATTTTGATTAAGGTTCCGAGGGCCTAGGGATGAATTCGAATGGATAACGGAAAGATTAGAACTTGGTTTGAGCAGCTGAAGTTGCTGCTTCTGTCATGTTCGCATCTGCGGATTGGGGACCGTAGGTGCGAGGCCACAGATACGGAGAATTGGGAAGCTGAGGCAAATCCGCAGATGCGCACAAGGGACCGCACCTGAGAGACCGAGAAGCGGGTATTTGACCGCAAAAGCGGTATTTTCAGGTTTAAGTGAAAACAGTACCTGCTATTAATTTTCTGCAGGTGCGGCATCGTAGAAGCGATATGGTGACCGCTGATGCGAAAAACGCTGGGCAAAAAGTATAAAAGGTTTCCTGTGCGAATTTTTGCCTAATTCTTCCATTCTTTAAGACGGGTTCTGAGCTTTGGGCACTGATTCTCAAGAGGAATCAAGGATTATCAGTTGGGTAAGCTACTTGGACCTTATATTTTGTGTTTGTGATAATTTTCCACTATTTAATCGTGGAATTTGGGGGAAATTGGGGAGAAATTGAAGCGGTTAGAGCTTGAGTTTTGGAGAGTTTTGATTGAGTATTTGAGGGACCATTTGAGGTCGGATTTTGATGATTTTGTTGTGTATAGACTCGGGAGTGGAAGGAATTTCTAGTTTTGCATTTTTTGTCAGATTCCGAGACGTGGGCACGGGGGCCGGGTTTGGTTGAATTTGGGGATTTTGGGTTGAATTGCTAGTTTTTCGTTTGAAATTGATTTCTTGGCCTATATTGGTTGCATTGTATAGTTTTTGGTTAGATTCGGGAAGTTTGGAGGCCGATTCCAGAGGCAAGGGCATAGCGGAGTAGGATTTGGATTGGTTTGAGGTAAGTAACACTTCCAAACTTGGTTTTGAGGGTTCGAAACCCCGTACGATGTGTTATGTGATTAATATTGAGGTGACGCAAATGCCAAGTGATGGGCATGTGGGCGTGCACCGTGAAAATTGTGGCTTGGTTCATTCCATGGCACCGCTTAGTGACTCCTTCTTATTGATATTTGTGTTGTGATTATATGATTAAGGAAATGAACTATAAATCATGCTAACTATCGTGTTAAGGCTTCACGCCAATACCGTTGAGACCCGAGTGGTCGTTTCTTGCTGTCATCTTATTAGTTTTATTGATAATCTGTAGTCAGTTTTGTTCATGCATAACATGTCATGTCTCAGCCTTGGTTGTTGTTATTTGACACATTATATCATTGTTTCGGGCTAGTTTTCATGGCATTGTGAGCCCGTGTGTGTGAGACTGGAGAGTGATGATTGAGTGAGGCCTAGAGCCTGATTATGACTGACAGTTATGGGATCGGACTGCACGCCGCACCAGATTATTGATTATGCCTTCGTTGGCTTGTTATATCGCTTGTGCTAAAAGGATCCCCTCCGGAGTCTATACACTGCCAGTGAGTGCGGATGATATTATCGAGGGATGGATTTCCCTGGACATGAATTTTTCCGAAGTATTGATACTTGGAGATAGATTTCTTCTCAGGGTTGGATTACCCTTGTTTCTTAGTACCGGTTGACTTGAAGTCAGTGTTATATATATATATATATATATATATATATATAGGGATGGATTTCCTTAGCCGAATGGCTATATGCGGTACCGAGTGGTTGAGCACTTGAGAATGGGAGCACATGGTGCATTTTCATACATTTCTGGCATTTATATGTAGAGATTTAGTAAGCTTTATACTTCACATTGTTTTGCTTTACTGTTGAGTTGAATAATTAAACTGCAAGCATGCCTACTTTACTGTTCCATTTAAATGTGTTATAATTGCTGATGTTTAGTTCGTCACTACCTATCAGTCCATAGTTTGGACTTGTTACTTACTGAGTTGGTGTACTCACGTTACCCCATGCACCTTGTGTGTAGATTCAGGCACTTTTGGATCCAGTGGCGGTTGTTGGTCGAGGCTCCAGGCTTAGGAGGTCATTGAGGTATCTGCACGACGTTCGCAGGCTTTAGCTCTCCTTCTTATTCTTCAGTTGTGTTTCAGTTGCGCCTTTAGACATTATAATAGACTATGTATTTTTCCTAGATGCTAATGCACTTAGTGACACCCTGGTTTTGGGTTGGATTGTATCTGTTCTTGGAATTTCTTATGTTTTAGTTTCTTTAATTGTTAAAAGCTTTCGTTAATGTTTTCAAACTTATTGTTATTGTATTGGTCGTTGAGTTGAGGCTGGCCTAGTTCCACGATAAGCGTCATCATGACGGGTTGGGTTTTGGGTCGTGACAGAGTAATAAATTTCTTACCCTTGATACCTACTCCACTTCAACCGTGAAAATTGCACGGGGCACCCTATTTGGTTGTCCCCATTTAACCTATACCCATTTTTAAAAAAAAAAGTTTTAACTTGTACCCACTTTTTAAACAACTGCAGCCCTTTTTCTCCTCCTTCTTCTCCTCCTCAATGTTTTATCTTTTCTTTTCTCAGAAGTAAGGTTCATCCCTGTCTGCTTCTTCTTATTTTTCCTTCCAATCATTTTTTCCTTTTCGCCAACACTCTCAGCTGTAAAGGTTCTATCTTGGTTTTGCAACTTGAATCTTATGCACAATTTTGATGTGAAAATGGGACAAGAGAAATTAATTATTAATTTTATATTGTTGTTTGGTGAATTGGGTCTAGCGAAAATTGGAGATTTCAGTTGTCGATTGGATTGGTAATGTGCTGATGTTTCTTGGTTCCAGTTAATGTTGCTTTATGTTACCTCGTGTGGGTACAACATGCCCCCTAGAGCTCTAGAGCTGAAGTTCGCCAGTTACAAAAACAAAAACTTCAGCAATTACAAACAAAAACTTCTGCAAATAAAGAACAAAACTTCATCTACTATGCTTAAGTTCAGCAATTACAAACAAAAACTTCAGCACACTTTGTTCAACACACTTGCTACTTCAGTCCCGTCTACTAGAATGCTGAAGTTTTGCGTGATTGTCTTTGCTACTTCAGCCCCGTATGGTGAAGTTACGTGAAAAAGTGGGTACGCTTGCAATTTTTTTTGCAAAGCAGGCACAAGTTAAAACGTGAGTTAAAAAGCGGGTATAGATGCAAATGCCCCCACTTCAACCTATGCATGCGCTCATGACTATTTTTTTAATTAGTATTCATTGTAGAATGATTATTACATTTTTAAAATCGAAAAATAATTTAATTTGAATTTTTTATTTTATTCTTAATGACAAGCTATTTAATTAACTTAAAATATTACCATATATTTAAGATTATTCTTAAGCTACTCAATCACACTACACCATATGAAACGGAGAATGAATATTACTGATATCTTGACTAAAGTTCTTCTCCTCCATTTTTTATTTTTTATTTTTTATTCTCCTTTTTTTCTTTTCTTTTGTTTTAACACTAAGCCCATTCTAGATAACCTAATACTCCATTAATCATCTATAGTGGAAGCTTCTTTTAGCGTTCGTCATTTATTATTTTTCTTTTTTTGGGCTAAATTAAGATTCTCCATTCAACATGACAGTTCTAAAATAGGAAATATTTTTCCACTTTACAAGAAAATCAATGACACGAGATTCTAGACGTCGGTACAATAATTAGGTTCACATTTCATCCTAATGAGAGTACAGATTGATATTTGATGGTCTATGAATTTCTAACAGCCCTTTAAATTCTTAGAAATTTCTGCCTAATCCAGATCGAGTGTGTCTGCAGTCCTCACATAAATGGCTTCATTAGAGTTCAATATTCCTCAGAGACATTAATAAATTAGAAATGAGAACTACTTACATAAACAACTTTCAAAGAGCTTAATTATCTGGATTTCAGTTTCATCATCAATAATTTTCTTGTTCTCGTTATGAGTACTGATTTCTTTGTAGGGTGCCTTTGTTCAGTGCAACAACAACAACAACCACCCAGTATAATTTCACAAGTGGAATCTCGGGAGGGTAGGATGTATGCAGCCTTACCCCTATCCTGGACGGGCAGAGAGACTGATTCTGATAGACTCTCGGCTAAAGAAGGTGAAAAAAACCCTGATAGCAAGTAATAACAAAACAAATAATTAGAAAACTAAATCGAAAATAGCAACAGAGAATATGAAAGAGGTACCGATAACAAGTAATAGCAAGACTGTTATATTCTATAATTTTATTTAAGGTGAATGTCTATATTTTATAGAGATTTTAGGGCTTGTTACTTGGTGACTAAGTCACTTTTCCCCTATAAATAGAGGGAGTCATATTCTATTGTAATTTATCCTAAATCAATAAGAATTCTCTCTCTACTTTTTTTTTGTAATACTCTTCTTCTTCTTCTTTTATTGTTTCATAACACGTTATCAGCACAAAACTCTAACCAATTGAGTAGAGGTATCTGCTTTGGTCATCAGGATTTGTGATACGTGCATGGTGCTCAACTTTTGCATAATATTAAGCGTAATGATTGTCAGTTGATCCATAAAATTCCTTCACGAATAAATTTTGGATTTAAGATAAGTATTTTACCTTATTATTCTCTTTTAAATTCTTGAAATTCTATAATTTGATTTTAAATACAAGCAAAGACAATAAATTTTGATTATAACTCTAATAGAGTTTGTAAGAAATTATAACCACGTGAAGTGGTAAAATTTCTATGTCTCATCATGATCAAATTCATGTATGATTGTGGGCACAAGAAGTAGAAACCCGTCCCATTGAATTTTCTTCATTCTCATTCCCTTTACGAGAATATGATAGTAGTATGTGATAAGTCTGAAAGAAGACAAAATTATTACCATAAAAGTATCAATGAATGTGGACGTGGCAATAGAAGAAATTATAATCGTCATCATTGTGATAATGAGAACAATAAGGATTCTTAAAATAATTGTAAGCACGTGATTTTTGACCCTCCCCGAGAATTTTCACATTTTTAGCGTGAATATGTGAAACTGGGTCTAGTATAGCTATTTTAACTATTTTTACTTTATTTCGTTGCAAAAAGAAAAATTTCAAAAAATATATATATAAATTTTAGTTTATGTATCTCTCATAAACTTGAAAAATACAAAAATTGCACTTTATTTTTGTACTTTATATAATTTCGAACATTACAAAAAAATATAATTCTATTAAGGTTTTATAGTCATTTTTAACTTTGAAAAATACAAAAATATT